GGCAGAGGATCGAGCAGATTGGACGACTTAACTCACAGGTAGATGCGCTACTGGCCGAGGCAAAAGAATTTAAAATGTGTATGGATAACCTTGCCTCGAAAAAGGAAGCCGTCGAAGCTCAGTTGGAGCTGTCTGATGCCCAACTTCGATCTGCAAAAGAAAATTCTTTGGGGCTGATCGAAAAGATGAAAAAGCTTCAGCATCGGTTGGATTTGGCCACTTCAGATAAATCAGATTTGGCCAAAGAACTTGAATTGGCCAAATATGAAGTAATTGAGGCCAATAAAAGAGTTGATGCCAAAGTGGCTTAGTTTAGGATCGATGTCGAGGTTAACCAAGCCAAAGCTGAGAGCATGGTCGAACATACAAAATGGCAAGCTCGGAGAGAGTCTCTCGAGGAGGTCAGGGCTCAAGGCTTCGATGTTGGGGTCGAGATTGAAGTTGCCAGGGCAGAGGAGAACAAAGCTCGGAGGCTGGCCTTTCCTGAGGAGGACTCCGATGACTCGGGGAAGTCTGAAGATGAGGACGGTGCTGAGAATACGGCCTCCGATGAAGATTGAGTCATTTAGGGCCTTAGGTCGTTCGCTGCATTCTTTTGATACCGCTTTCGGTTTTTGTATCAAGAACTTCCTTTTGGCAGAATAGCCGCCTCTGTACAAAAAATTTGTAAACATAAATCTTTCTTCCTTTTGAAGAAAAATAACCTTTCAAACTAAATAGATAGTTTGAATTTTAATCTATGTTGCCTTCGGGCCTTGTGGGTAGTTCCCTTTGATTTGTCGGGCTCGAACAACCTTCAGCTTAAATAGTCAAGTGTTCGTTTGAATTCGAAGTGAGTGTTTGCTTGAACTCGAAATAAAAGTAGCCCGTAGGCTTAGTAGTCGAGTGAATGATTCGAACTCAATGCAATGTATCCCTTAGGCATAATAGTCGAGTCAGTGCTTGCTCGAACTAGAAATAAAAGTAGCCTGTAGGCTTAGTAGTCGAGTGAATGATTCGAACTCAAAATAATGTAGCCCGTAAGCTTAATAGTCGAGTGTGTGCTTGCTCGAACTTGAAATAAAAGTAAACTGTAGGCTTAGCAGTCGAGTGAATGATTTGAACTTGATGCAATGTAGCCCGTAGGAGTAATAGTCGAGTGAGTGCTTGCTCGAACTCGAAATAAAAGTAGCCCGTATGGTTAGTAGTCGAGTGAATGATTCGAACTCGAAATAATGTAGCTCGTAGGATTAATGGTCGAGTGAGGGATTGCTCGAACTTGAAATAAAAGTAGCCCGTAGGCTTAGCAGTCGAGTGAGTGCTTGCTTGAACTCGAAATAAAAGTAGCTCGTAGGCTTAGTAGTCGAGTGAATGATTCGAACTCAAAATAATGTAGCCCGTAGGCTTAATGGTCGAGTGAGTGCTTGCTCGAACTCGAAATAAAAGTAGCACGTAGGCTTAGTAGTCGAGTGAATGATTCGAACTCAAAATAATGTAGCCCATAGGCGTAATAGTCGAGTGAGTGCTTGCTAGAACTCGAAATAAAAGTAGCCCGTAGGCTTAGTAGTCGAGTAATAATTCGAACTCGAAATAATGTAGCCCGTAGGCTTAACGGTCGAGTGAGTGCTTGCTTGAACTCGAAATAAAAGTAGCCCGTAGGCTTAGCAGTCCAGTGAATGATTCGAACTCGATGCAATGTAGCCCGTAGGCGTAATAGTTGAAGTAGCCCGTAGGCTTAACGGTCGAGTGAGTGCTTGCTCGAACTCGAAATAAAAGTAGCCCATAGGCTTAGCACTCGAGTGAATAATTCGAACTCGATGTAATGTAGCCCGTAGGCATAATGGTCGAGAGAGCGCTTGCTCGAACTCGATCCTGTTTTCATAATAAATCTTGAACATAGAATATCGGTAAAGAAGATTGTCTTTACAAGTCATTATACATGTGTTCATGTTTTGTGTCAGGGCTCAGGTCAACTACATAAGCATAGTTCGTTTTGATCGTTGGCTCTTACAACGTTTCCTATTGAGACACTGTTTGTCATGAAATAACGAAGTAACTTCCTTTGCACCAAACTTTGATAACCATCACAGATGCGTTCAATGATAAAGCCCCCCAGTATACGAGGTTGATTTTAAAGAGACCTCGGACACTCAGCAGTTGTATCGTTTCCGCTATATGGCTGGTATCGATCTCTGGTCGATTTTTTCTTGGTAGCTCTTTTCGTAACGGACCTAGAAATCAACTGGTCATCTTCTTCTCTTATTTGGGATTGATATCGATTGTGCACATCGGTCTAAGTAATAGCTGGGTACTTAATCAGATTTTACTTCAGTCGCCGTGACGCCATCGAGCTCCGCTCGTTTAGAACTTGAGTGAAAGCTTAAACAGCCCAATCGTCTGTGACTGGTGGCAGATCCATTCGTTCCATTTGAAAACGAGATACGAACTCCCTTAGCATCTCGTTATCCTTTTGTGTTACCTTGAACATGTCTGACTTTCTGGTTTCGACCTTAATGGCTCCGGCATGAGTTTTTACGAAGAAATCTGCAAGCATAGAAAAAGAATCAATAGAGTTAGATGGTAAATTATGATACCATACCATTGCCCCCTTTGACAGGGTTTCACTGAATTTTTTCAATAATACAGATTCGATCTCATCATCTTTCAAATCATTGCCCTTGATGGCACACGTGTAAGAAGTGACGTGCTCGTTGGGGTCAGTCGTTCTGTTATATTTGGGTATTTTGGGCATACGAAATTTTTTAGGGATTGGTTTTGGGGTTGCACTCGAGGAAAAAGGCTTTTGAATGAATTTTTTCGAATCTAGCCCTTTTATCATTGGTGGAGCTCCCGGGATCTGATCGACCATGAAATTATATGTTTCTACTTTTTTATCGTTGGCTTCGACTCATTTTGTGAGTCCCTCGAGTATTTTAGTAATTTCAAGAGTAGTCCCCAATTCTTGCTCATTTGACTTCACTATGGCTGGTTCCGTTTTGTGGGTGATTTCTCGAAGCAGATTGGGCTCCGGTCTGCTTTGTACCTGAGTTTGGCTCTGCAACTGAGCTATCGCTACTTGCTGGGCTTGTAACATCTCGAAGATCATCCGTAGGCTGACTCCGATCTCCTCCAAGTTATGGGTGTCTCGAGCTACGGATCGAGTACTGCCCTAAATGCTTTTTTTCGGTTCGGAACGTTGGTTCGCCTTAAGAGCCATGTGAATTGACATCTAGCGGTACTCCGACTCGAGCTTCGGTGACATCGTTAATTCGCCTTCCTGCCCTACGTGTCAAGTTGTTGGTTTCATCTTGAAGGCCGGCTTCGTGGTCGATGGGTAAAGCCATCAGTCGAGGGTTTGCCATCGTTGATTTGAAGTTGCAAACTAGTGTGTATTGCAGATTTGTGTCAAACAACCACTGTTACCCTTAGACCCACGGTGGGCGCTAAACTGTTTACCCGAAAAATTAGATAGAGTTAAATTTGTGTATGGTTCTAAGGATATGTGATATAATTTGATACAAATCGTATAGAGAAATAGAAATATGTGTATTCTTGACTATGAGAATGAGAATAGTGAGAAGAAGAACGAATAAGATAAATGGCAGAAAATACAAGGGGATATCTTTCAATATGAGAAAAAATCTTTTGTTACAATGTGTGCCTGCTTGCCTACAATCCATGCTCCCCTTATAATAGAGGGATCCTACTTTATATACAATAAAAAAATACGTAGTGGAGAACCCATGATGTATTATTTTTTTCTCGATTTCCGCCAAGATTCTCTCCCATAGTGCGGTTGCAACGACCCTTGTCTGCGAGTTTGATACTGGCTCGAGCTCGGTATTGGATCGAGCCCTCGGCCTTGTTCTGAGCTCGATTCTGACTTGGGGTCTCGGTATTCGGGCTGAGTGTTGGTCGGTCTATGCATCTTCGATAATCTCCGCTTTGCCCCGTAGTTCGATTTGGATATGAGCTCGATAATGATACCGAACTTGTTATTGATCGGTCTTAGAGCTCGAAGCTCGGCGCCCTTACTTCGGACCTTGACCGAGCTTGTCATGCAGATATCCTTTGATCGAAACATTATCGTCTCGACCAGTCCGTACAGACTCAAATCGGTTTTGACCGTACACAATAACAATCCTAGTCTTAAGCAGCTCACGCTCAAGGAAGTCGTAACAGGTCGATCTTATATCTTTTATATTTGTTTTTCCATGAATATGTAGTTGTATACTAGCATGAATTTGTTTTTCCATGAATATGTAGCTAGGTTCTTATACTGCTTTGTTTAAACTTTGATCCTCCATCTTTTATCTTACTTCAATACATACTGATGGAGTTTTATTGAGTTAAAGTTATGATCTTTAATATTTAGCTTCTCTTCTTGTATTTGGACGTTGTTAGATGGAAAACACGGGCCTAGTGAAATTTTTGGTGGACCAGCTGTTGGATCACGTCCAGGAAGGAATTGTTCAACCAAATCAGGTTTTCGAAATCGTAGGAAAGCTGGAACAAGCTAAATCACACCTGCTTGCCTCAGGTAGTCATAAGTCAATATATTAGATTCTTAGTGTTTTCTGGAGCCATCTCTTTTATTATATTTGATTTTTTAAAAGAAAGAATATAAACTTCATTCCAAAACAAGTGACCAGTATAACATGGTAAAACACGAATGATGTTGGAGTTGGACTGTTGGTGTTGGCGCTAGCTAACACTCGAACAGAACTAGATAAACAATAGATTAAGTGATATCATGCTGGCTAGCTAGACATTCATAGACCAAGCACAAGATTTTACAACAAATATATGGAAAATAGAGGAGGTGCTGGTCGGTGTTACTGCAAGCTGACGCACAGACATAATATATAGCCACACTGACAAACAATTCTACTGTATGTCTAAAAGCAAAAACTAGTAGGAAAAATGGTGGTGGATACATTTACATTACCCCATTTTTCAATGACATATTAACTATATTACTAGAATGTTTTATAANATATATATATATGTAGTTCACTGTATGTATGTAGTTTTTATTGAATTGTGCCATTCATAGACACAATTATTGACTGCCGCACAATTATTCCAAGAACCCTACGAACTCATGATTGTTTATCATACTGATGCTTATCTCTTCCATTAGATTTAATATTTTATTTATTTCTTGCACAGTTAGGCGAACTACTGTCACTTTTGGGCCTCCTTCACTTCAGCAACAAGTAGCTGCAACTCCACTTGTTTCAACAATGGATCTGCAAGTAACAACAACTAATACTCCAACTCCAGGAATCGTGGCCCAGCTACCAACAGCCCCTGTTATTACGCAGCTACCAACAGCCCCTGTTATTAAGCAGCCGTCTCCCTAGTCTCGCGCTTCAGACAATTGGCAAACAACAGATGAAACGCAGTTTGCTGATGCTGTTGGCCCTGTTTATTGGTGTGAAATGGAGTTGACTTCACCAGGCCAGCAAAATCTGCTTCACATTACTCATGATATGTTTTCGATTCTTGAGAAGGGAAGTCCCCTTGCATCATTCATAAGGTCTCCTTTTTTTCGAGGAAGCTCGATGCCGGTGGTTTTGCGTAGCACGAAAACAGCTGGACTTCCATTTATAGGGTTCCCGGGCTTGCTACATCATCCGGGAGGACCTAGTTGTGGAGTAGACCTTACTTGGCCAGCCTTGGGAAAATTCTTTCCTCCCCCTATGACTATCCAATTGTCTTACTTGTGGAAAGTTTCTGGGGAGAAATATATGCTTCAGATAGGGGTTATTGAGCGTGGTATATATGATTTTTATTTCTCTTTGTTTTTCTTTTAAAAAGAAATTTCTTTTGTCCTTGTCTTTAATTTTATTGTTCTTTACTCATTGTTGTTATATATGTCTAAATTGTTTGCACTCTTGTACATGAGCTGGGCCAACAGCTGGGCCACCTACAGATGGTGGGCGAACAGAAGGTGCTGCTCCAACAGATGGAGATGTTGCTGGTCAAACAGGTGCTTAAAAATTTGGACATTTGACAAGGAACATTACTAGTGCAGCATAATATCTACTGGGTGGAGAGGAGTATATACTATAATTTAATTGTCTTAATAGACAAATGTTTGGTTTTTGAGAACTCTTTCTATAAGTTTAGTTTTTGATGGTCTGTAATAACTCTAACTACAAAACATATTTCATTTGCAGTTGATGTCATTTAGGAATAGTGGGTTTTACATTGTCTTACTATCAATTCCTTAACTCCATTTGTTTTTAGAATTAGAAAGCACTCCTTCAATTACAATCAATTTGCGTTGAGCCAGTAAATAATTTTAACTACTTAATCAGACAAATTAGCCAAACAATATAAGTATAGTAATCACTTGAATCTAATCCCAACAGGACTTTCCAAACATACCAAGGTAAAGGCTAAGTCAATTTTAGAATATAATACTCAGCTTACAACTTACTATAATACAAAAATGGGTCATGGGCGGTCGGATCACCTCTATAATTATTGAATTGACTGACATGTCCAAATGCGAAAAAAGCTTTATTTTCCTTTCCTACTTAATAATCTTACGGGCTAAGGTGATGTGATGTTTTTATTTTTTACTTAAATTGTCATTATATTTAGAATAAAATTATGTAAGCCATACTTACAGCGCACACCCAGATCGAATATATCTTTTCACAAAATCTAAATTAAGGTGGATGAAAAGGATTTAGAAGCTTAGAAGAATTTCAGCTTTAATAAATTTGGCGGCGTAAGAATCATGGTCCGATTTCACTCCTCTCCATTTCCTATTACCTCCGTTTCCCTAAGTTCTTACTTGAATAGGAGACACCTTTACCTTTTTAAAATTAATGGTCTAGATTTAATTAACTAAAACAAGGTATTAACCACAGTTAAGTAATAAATTTCCATATATAACTTTCAGACATCCATAGACTAAAAAGAAATTCAATGTGGCTTAGGCCTTTGGAAGCGGAAACCATTATTTATATTTTTGCATCAAAACCCTCTTTTAACGGATAATATTATTTCATTATTTCTTTCCTTTCATAGTGTAACATTTAATTGCTAAAACATAGGAGTATTAAATAACATTAATAGCGTAAAAAAAAAATTTCCTTCACATTTTGAATGTATATAAGTTAATTCTCACTCTAGAAGGTTCGTAGGTTTTAAGTTTCTAGCTCTGACATCTTGAATTATTCTTAGATTTCTAGACTGGAAGAGGAAAGAGTTATAACTTATACCATGTATTACTTCAACCGGAAAAATCTGTCCAAAATAAAAATGCAAGTATATTACTCTTTACTCGAAAAATGGATAGAGTTGAATTTGTACGTAGTTCTAAGGGTACGTGATATAACTTGGCACAAACCGTAAAAGTAAGTAGGAATATCTTGTATTAACTGTAAAGAATAAAATACAAACAAAGTTGAATGCAGGATGATTTATGGATAAACAAGATGAATTAATGTATAAAACTTAAAAAGAATAATCTCTCAATATGGGAGTGTCTCAACAGTATCTGAGTTATGGTGTATCAATGCCTTAATGGTTGGATGGCTACAGAAATAATAGTCATCCTTCTTATAGTGGATGGATCCTATTTTGGATATAATTAAAAATACATAGTGGAGAACCCATGATAAATTTGCTTTTCCCTAATTCCCGCCGAGATTCTCTCCCTCAGTACGGTTGTAACGGCTCTTGTCCCTTAGCTCGATCTTGATCGGGCTTGATGTTAATCGATCTCCAAATTTAGAGCTCGATATTGACTCGGGGCCCGGTATTGATTCGGGCTCAGTATTGGTCGGTCTTTGGCTCTTAAGCTCGATAACGTCGCTTCGTATCATAGTTCGATTTGGATTCGAACTCGATAATGATTTTGAGCTCGGTACTGATCGGTCCCTGAAACTCGAAGCTCGGTAACCTGGCTTCAGATCTCATCTTGATATTATAAAGACGCTCTTCCGTCCATTATGTTCCCATCTTGACCAGTCGTACGAAGGTCGAAATCGGTTTTGACCGTATACAGATAGTCCCCTCATTTCTCGGGAAGGATGTGGCGAAAAACGACATGATTTTCCAACGGAGCTATTAGATATACACTGATGTTTGCATCGAGCCCGACCATGACGTACGTGATAGTTATCCCGTCGGTTCAGTTTACCAAGGCATTTAATGCATGTCAGACGATGGCCGACCACTGCTGATATTGAACCGTCATTGCCCAATCTATAAATAGCCCCTCATTTTACCATTTATCACTTTTACATCTCTAATTTTCAAATTTTCTAAGTCATTTCTCGCATCTTCTGAGTTCTTCATTTTGTGATATGTGATTTTTACTGCAAAATCTCCCCTTTAAAACACCAAATCTTTGTCATCTCCTTCTATTTTCAATCTTTAAATTCAAATGGCGAAAATGTCGAAAATCGTTCCCCAAAAAGAAAGTGCTTCTTCTTTGCGGCCTGCCGGCGACAAAACACCGGTGGAGCCACAGGGTGTGTTCTTACTTCTTATTTTAAGATCGATAAAGCCTCGCCAGTTCCTGGTCGATGTGAACCAGTATCGATGTATATGTGCTCGATAACTAAGGGACACCTCGAGCAGCTGAGGAAAGATTGTAACTGGGAGAAAAAAGAAGTGATAATCCCGGCTCTCGAAGAAGATATTACTACTTATGTGAAAGGGTTTTTAAGTGTGTATACTTAACCTTTCACATTGGACCCCTCGACCCTGTTGTTATCGATTTTTGCCGCCAATACCAAATAACCCCAGGCCAAATCTGTAATGACTCAACCGGTCATTTTGACTTTTAGAACCCCGTTCCCTAAAATAAAACTCCCCGTGTGTGCTTTAATTAATTTATGACTTGCGGGGATGGTTAGTTTGGGATTTGGAAGCGTTCGGATTAAAATCGGAACACTTGGTTCCTTAAGTTGGCCTTAAAATGTTAAGTTTCACTTTGGTCAACATTTTTAGAAACGATCATGGAATAGAATTTTGATTATTCCAACAGCTCCGTATGGTAATTTTGGACTTAGGAGCGAGTTCGAAATTTTATTTGGAAGTCCGGAGTTTAATTAGGCTTGAAATGGATAAAATAGGAATTTAAGTTTGGAAGTTTGACCGAAGAGTTGACTTTTTGATATCAGAGTCAGAATACAGTTTCGAAAATTTTTATAGCTCTGTTATGCCATTTATGACTTATGTGTAAAATCGTAGGTCAATCGGACTTGATTTGATAGGTTTCGACATTGAATGTAGAAGTTGAAAATTCTTAAGTTTCATTAATCTTGAATTGGGTTGTGATTTGTGATTTTAGCATTATTTGATGTGATTTGAGATTTCGACTAAGTCCGTATGATATTTTAGGACTTGTTTGTGTATTTGGTTGAGGTCTCTAGGGCCTCGGGTGAGTTTCGAAAGGTTAACGGATCATTTCAGACTTGGGAAACAGCTGAAGGATTTTTGGTGTCCAGCTTTGGTTTCCTTCTTCGCGTTCCCGAAGGGAAAACTGGGTCAGGCGATATTTTCTCTTCGCGTTCGTGAAGAATGGACCGCATTCGCGAAGGGTGATGGCAGTGTGCATCGCAAATGCGTGAAGGCTTTCGCGTTCGCGTAGAAGGACGAGGCCAGGCGGGGTATTGGGCATTAAAGCTTCGCGTTCACGAAGGAGGTATCGCGTTTGCGAAGGATGTATCGCGTTCGCGAAGGCCAAGTTTGGCAGTGCATCGCGTTCGCAAAGAGGAGCCTCGCGTTCGCAAAGAGGAAAGTTGGGCAGCACATTTTTGTGCTTCGCGAACGCGAGACAAGGGTCGCGTTCGCGAAGAAGAGAGGGTCTGGGCAGAATGTTAAGTTCAAAAAATGGGACTTCCATTTTTAATGATTTGGAGCTCGAATTTAGGCGATTTTTTAGAGATTTTCAGAGAAAACAACAGGGTAAGTGTTCTTAATTCAATATTGATTAAATTACCCGAACCCATCACTGTTTTTATCATGTAATTGGTGAATTAAGTTGGAAAAGTTTAAAAAACCTTCTTGGATAGATTTGAGGATTTGAGGGCTGAATTGTTATCGAAATTTAGTAATTTTGATATGGGTAGACTCGTGATTGAACGAGCGTTCATATTTCATAACTTTCACCGGATTCCGAGATGTGTGCCCCACAGATGATTTTTGAGTTAATTTAGGATTTTATTGAAAAATATAGTATTTTCTTATGAAATTGATTCCTATAATTTTTAGTGATTGTATCGAATTTATTTTGGCTAGATTCGAGCCATTCAGAGTTGGATAATCGAAGAAAAGGCCTACTATTGGATTAAATTGGAGCAAATTTTAGGTAAGTCTTTTATTTAATCCTGTGAGGGAGAAATTACCCCATAGGAAATTAAATTAATAATTGTTGCTAATTGTGGAGGGCTACGTACGCAAGAGGTGACGAGAGTCCGTGCGTAGCTACTATAAATGCTAAAGTCCGGGTAGTTTAGGACTCAAAGCATGAATTAATTGTGTAAATTGTATCCTTTATTTAATTAAATAATTATATATATTGTAAATTGTTAGGGAAAGATAGGAAAAGATGAAAACCTCATATGTTTAATTTCTGTTTAAAAGTAATTAATTGTTAAAAGAAATTATTCATCCTCTCGAATTTATCTTATAATAAATATACTCTCATTCCGGAGGTACATAGAAAAATGTCCTCCTTTCTTGTGGAAGCGGGCCGAACACCTCGACAGTATAGATGTATCTATGGATCGCACCGCACATCCCTCAGCAGTGTACACGATACTTTAGAACGTGCCGTATGACCTCGACAGAAATCGTGCCTAATAATAATAATAATTGCACGATACCTTGATGTTTAATTGCAGCTTATGAATTTAATTAATATATTGGGATTTGTTGCATTCGGAGGAATTTAATTACTTCTGTTGTTAAGTAAGAATTATTATAAATTTTATGAATCATGTTGATCTAAATACTCTATTTTTATTTCAATTATTATTATTGACCCTTAGTGAGTGTCAAAGTCGACCTCTCGTCTCTACCTCTTCGAGATTAGGCTTGATACTTACTGGGTACACGTTGTTTACGTACGCATGCTACACTTGCTGCACCTTTTGTGCAAGATCTAAGACAGGTACTAGTGGATGACCTATTATTGCACATCCACG